AATTTGATGAGAGATCTTTTTCAAAGTGACCGACAGATTATATATAGTTCTTTTAAAATAAATATTAATCATCGTCTATTTATATAAATATAATACTATTATATACAAAGTGGTTCAATTTAACAGGTTAAACACTTAAAAAATGACTAAGAAAGAAATTCTTACTTAAAAAATATTTTTTTTTAAAACTTATCTTATTTTGGTAGTTTTATAAATTATAACATTTACAGGATCATAAAAGTAACATATTTATACAGTATGTTCCTGGATTATCTTTACATGAGGAAAAACTTTTATATTATTGACATCTTGAGAAAAATGTATTCTTCATAAAAAAAATCTTGTTCTAAAATAGTAAATTTCGTTTAAACTTTTCCAAATTTCCATACTATTTTAGAGAAAATAAAAAAAACAATATACAGGATGCTACAAATTCGAGGTACGAGCATTGGTATCTCGGTAACCGTAATAGATACGAAGATGGTTAAATTTGGGCAAAGTTGCGCCTTGAGTTTTTTGAGAAAAACGAATTTTTTTGAATATCAATTTTATTTTTTCCTGTCCTGTTAGAAAATCAAAAAACTAACTGAACATTCTCATAGCCACTTTGTCAGGGCTATCTCACAGTATTTTTAGATTTTCAAACTATCTGATAATTTGTGTACATAGGCCAACTTAATTTTTTTAAATAAGGACCTGCATTTTTTATTTGAGATTTTGAAAGAATTCAGTCTCCTGAGGACAACGATATGCCACACTTTTTTTTTGTTTTAGATACTTTAACAACAACAAAACTTCAATTATTATTTAAAATAATTTCAAACCCGACTCTGGATTTTTAAATTATTTAACCTGATTATGTTCATCGCAACAATAAGGAAAATCGAGCCAAATGAAAGATTTAAATAAATAATATCCAGCTCAGCAATTTAAAATTAATAATATAATTTTTAATTTTTTTTGTGAATTTGAAATTTCAATGTATGATCTAATAATATGCATAATATTAATCCTAGTTGTTATTAATATATCAACTTCTACAAACAAATTTCTAAGGTTCTACATGTTCGAAAGGGTTTATTTAATACCACCCTCCCTATTGCACACATTTATTTTTCGTTCAATTTTATGTAATAGCCCTTTCAGCAGATCTTCTTCTTATACTTCCGAATGCATTTTGTACTCATTGTTGTAAATGTTGAGGTATATTGATTTCATTTTTACAAATGACGTCAATACACAGGTTCAGGAACTTCGCTGGCCATTATGCTGCTCCACCATTCTCAATCCATCTTCCGAGGAAATGATTTTATTGTTTATTTTATATTTATATTATTTATTTTATATTATTTTATTGTATTTGAATTTCCGTATTCAATGATTTATCTCACGTCATTATTCAGTTTTAAAACTCCTCAATATTGTAACAATTAATAGATTAAATATTTAAAAAAAAAACAGAGCCGGACTTGAAATTAGTTTAAATAAATTGTGTTCAAATTTCCGAAACAAAATAAAATATTAAGTTTGGCACATCACTGTACTCAGGAGGCCAAGTTCTTTCAAAATCTAAAATAAAAAATGCAGGTCCCTATTTAGAGAAATCAAGTTGGCCTTTGTATCTCACAAATTATCAGATAATTTAAAAATCTAAAAATAATGTCAGATAGCCCTAACGAAGTGGCTATGAGAATGTGCAATTAGTTATTTGATTTTTTAAAAACTAACGACAGGAAAAAAAATAAAATTGATTTTCCAAAAAAATTAGTTTTTTCCAAAAAAATTCAGCAATCCTTGAAATTTTTAAAACTTTTTTCATGGCATCTTGGTGAACATCCCATGGCGCAACTTTGCCCCAATTTAACTCTCTTCGTATCCATTACGGTTTCTGAGATATCAATGCTCGTACCTCGAATTTGTAGCATCCTGTATAGCCACTGATAATATATTTTTTAGCTGAATTTTTTCGTTATAAAAATCAAAACGCGTTTCTATGGTAATATAATTTCGTTTCCATTCTTTCATAGATTAACGTCATATTTTTGCTGTTTTCAAATGTTAAAGAAGCACAACATTTATTTAGATCAATGCTACAAAAATGTGATATCTTAAGAGCAGCAAAAATAAGACATTAATCAAAATTCTTGTTCTTTCAGCCATATTTTCATATTTTTTTTAATTTTTTCTAAAACGGTAAAGAAATTTGGAAACGGGATTAGCCATTTTAAAACAAGCAAAAATTTGTATCAAGAATGAGTTTTTCTCAAAATATCAGTGATAAAAAAGTTTTTGCCTTTGTAAAGACAATTCGGGGACATACTCTATATGAGATATTCTGTTAGTCTTAAGAGTTCATTTCACTACTCCAAAAAAGTAGCAAAATAAGTGTTCGGCATTTAACGTTTTATGACAGATAACATTTGTGGATTTATGTAAAACTGGTTTCGTAAATTAAAGATAGAGGATTATACTCTATCCGTATTGTAGCACATTTTTAGACAACTTCTTTATTTTTAAGATTTTGAAGGTCAAACAAAATATTTCTTGTGTTAAATATATTGTGTGAAAATAAAGACATAATTTAAAATTCTGTTACAATACGGAAATAGATTGAAGTTTTGTAATTACAGTGATATATTTATGATTTATATGGTTTTGTAACAAATTGCTCGCTATTTTAAGGCAAATGTTGAAGCTGTGCAAACTTTAATCAAGCCTTAATCAAAGCACGTGTGTTTGGAATTTTGGGTGTGGCTTAACACGACAGGATCGTGCTAAGTCTTAGGAAGATCCCTGAAATATATATTTCCTTCGACCACACACCCGCTTTACCCGACCCCTGAGAGAGACCTGAACAGTACAGCGTAATAATAGTCTCTTAAGATTTTACCTTTGCGATTTTTGGCTTATAACAACCTATTGCTAACATGCACCATGTGTTTGCTTTTATCTATATCAATTTAAATAAAAAAAAATTGATTATTACATTAACGCTGGATCACCCTGTATAAGAGTATGTGTACGGCAGATAATGGTAATTTTATGTTAGTCATTGCTTGCGATAAGAACTGGATCTTTCCCACTTAATTTTTCTAGAGTCAGCTGCAGATATGAAAGGTGATAGTTTAAGCAAAAATACTTAAGATACAATGTAACCTTAATAAGAATTTTCACTCCGAGAATTAATATACAGTGATTACCAAAAAGTTAAAAGTATTTGAAAAATTGTTTGCAAAATGTAAAAGATATAAAGGTTGTAAAATTCTGCGGGATCCTTATCTAAACAGTTAGAAACCATTTTATTCACAAGATACGCAACCAAAAATAGGTTTAAATGTTAATATATGGGAGACAGAGAAAGACGTAGGGGCGGAGTGAGATGAATGCGACCACCGTTTTGAAGTTGAAGATTGATGAATTCGAAACAATATCAGATTTAATAGTCGATGCAATCAGACCGCCGAGTCATGTTTTCGTAATTTTACAGCAGTGCATTTTTCAACGCATAAAATTAAACGAGTTATTGTTACACAATAATTTACTTTGATAGCATTAAATATAACCCCTCTTAAGATTTTTAAATAGTTACAATAACCTATCCCAATCCATTTACTCACCCATCTGTACATACAGCTTCACATGTTTCCATCATTTTTTAAATACTAATCTCCTGGTGGTTTAATAGACTTTAGATATGCATGTTCCCTTTAGTTGTTTTTTTTTTTGGTGATACAATATTATTTACAATTTTAGTAAAAACTTAAGGATTTAGAATTGACAACAATTTTACCTAAGCAAATGATTTAAAGTGAAATTTTATACAAAAATAGTGCATTTATGAAGGCATACAATCTGCACATGGTGTCGTTTGCCAATTCCATTAGATCCACTATGGTTTTCATGTTAGTACTGTAGTAGTGGGTCAGGAAACTGATGGGATTGACGGACAAAATCGTTTGGATATATTATTAATCAGAAGATGAAACTGCAGCATTCTATAAGAGCACGACAGTTTGGTAAATATGCGGTTCTTTGTACTTGGTAATTATAAGCCAAGAGCATTATGGAAGGTTCAGTCTCCAAGTTCTCACACTTTTTGAAAATGAGATGACTGGGGAACTTAGAGATCACAATAGATCTGGAGATCACAATAGATCTGTAAAGGTCGCAGCAGAATCGGACGATCGCCAGGATAACGATGGTATATAAGGGGTACTGGTCAATTGGCGAACATGCTACAAGAATGGGCATCCTTTTTAATAAAGTTTGCCGAAGCTGCAAGGACCCGAAAGAAAGGGGAACATACATTTGTGCATTGGGCTTTGTACGGGATCCGGAATCGTTTCCTCATATATCCTCAGAAGCTCCAGCTTCGTAGATTGTCGGGAAACGTAAAACGGAAGCTATTTGTTTCTTCAATGCAACCGAATGGTTACAAACATTTAACAATCCAATTGGGTCCCTAGGTATAGGATATCTCAAAAATTCCTAGGTATAGGATATCTGAGTGAGCTTGTTTTGTAATTTGGTATCAAAACGGCAATTGTGCTAATTTATTACCACATTTAAGCAACCAACAAACCAACCAGGCAAATAGCCATGCCAAAAAAATCAAATCTATTCTAGGTACTGCATAGACATTGCTATTGAGCATATTAAAACCAATAAAGCAGCACAAAACCAATCCGTGTAACAATAAATTTGAAATTTGAAGCGACAAAATTAGAGCACTAGAAGGAATCGGACTATTATATTATTTGTTCTTAGTTTTCTATATATTTTTTTTGAAGCTCTCATGTCTGCACTTCGTATATGTGTGATTTTTTAAAATTATTAACATTAATGGGATATTTTTTATCGAAAATAAGTTCGCAGCATAACCTGAGAGCAATAGAGTATTAGAATCTGCTTATTTGTAACACAAAAACACCAAAAGTATAAAATACAACTACTTGAGATAAATGGTAAAGTCTTATATTATTATTTTTTATTTATTACAGAGCTGCTTCTGATAAAAGGAAGTTGCACGTGAAGAGACCCATGAATGCTTTTATGGTATGGGCACAAGCAGCCAGAAGGAAACTAGCTGATCAGTATCCTCAACTACACAACGCAGAATTATCAAAGACACTTGGCAAATTATGGAGGTAAGTTTCATCAATAAGAATATACTATAGATTACAGCTAAGTAACATCTCATCACTTTCATTTGTCAAATCTTTTGTAAAACATTCTGATCAATAATGTCTTCAATATTATAATAGTTTTAATTTCTGGGGTGTTATCTATTCAAGTTTTGGTCAAATTCCATTTTGCTTAAAGCTTAGCCCGATCCTGTCGTGTTAAGATACACCTAAAATTCCAAACACACCAATGCTTTGATTAAGGCTTGTAGAGCTTCTGCATTGGCCATAAAATAGCGAGCAATTTGTTATAAAACCATATAAATTATATATCACTGTAATCACAAATCAATCTTCAATCTTTGTCGGTATTGTAACGGAATTTTAAATTATTTCTTTAATTTTGAGCAAATTTAGTGCAAACATAAGGTATATTTTCTTGATGTTTGACCATCAAAATCTTAAAAATTAAGATGTTACCTAAAAATGTGCTACAATACCGACATAGTATAATCCTTTATCTTTAGTTTTCTTCTTCATTTGTGTAAAAATACCTAGCCAGTTTTACATAAACCGTTAAATGCCGAACGCTTATTTTTCTACTTTTTTGGACTAGTGAAATGGACTCTTCAATCTTTCTTAAGGTATTAATAGGTATACTATCAAAATTATATACAGGGTTGTTCACCACATACGACACGGAGTATTTTAGCTAAACGAATAGATTTTTACAAATTGTAAGTTTTGTGTTCATTGAAGGACTATTGGAGCTACAATTTAAAAATATTTTTACAAGGTACAGAGTGTCCCAAATAAGTAAAAAATATTATAGTTGTATTTTTTTAAATGGAACACCCTGTATATTATTCTATTTTTGGATTATACGATTGAAATAAAGGTAAATTTGATTAAGGTTTATCACACTGAAACCTTACCGTTTTTGAGATATTTTCAATTTTATGAAATTGCAGTAAAAATTTTAAGGCTTCGTTTCTCCAAGGGTATCAAAGTTTTTAATACTAAATATTTACTGAAGATTATTTATTGATCAGATATTGTGCTGCAATAATAAAAAATTTACTACCTTATACAGAGTGTCCAAAAATTTATATTAAATAATTACTAGCTTTAAACGGAAATAACTTGTTTAATTTAAATGGAACACTCTATATATTTTAGGTGAATCAGATGCGCAATGTAATTGTCTATCAAATTGTATTATGCCATTTTTTACCCATCTCTTCAAGTTTTCGTAGAAAATGCATTTTCTTATAATTTAGACCTCATTTATCACTATACCCATGGAATATTGATATTTTAGCTTATTTTTAAAGATGTAACAAATTTTCAAAGGGTACAGATACTAATATTGTCGATATAGTTCGCTTATTTAATTAAAAAATAAAAAAAACTGTTTAATTATTTTTTGTTGAAGAGGACCAATTAATATGATCCCAGTATTTAAACTACATTAATTGACTGTTTACGTTGATTTATAATAATTGCTCCAAATACTAAAAAACTGAATTTTGTGTGTGTATTAGACAATGTGGTAAGAAGTAACACCTTCTAAATTTTATTTCATTTTTTGACGAATGCTTTATTTGCAAAAACAGAGACGTTCATTTTCATAACTTATTTTTATATTGATTTTTGAGCCAAATCCACATTTATTTAGAATACTTTATCAATTAAAACAATTTAAAAGTATGTAATTAACTAATTACAAAGATATAAATAGTTTTTTTTGTATACCAATGGGATTGCAATATTTACCACCTGTACATTTGCAACAGCACATATATGGTGCTTTAAAAAATCTGAAATGTCAATATTCCATGGGTATAGTGATAAATGAGGTCTAAATTATAAGAAAATGCATTTTCTACGAAAATTTGAAGAGATGGGTAAAAAATGGTGTAATACATTCTGATAGACAATTACATTGTGCATCTGCTTCACGTAAAATATATAGGGTATTCCATTTAAATTAAACAAGTTATTGCCGTTTAAAGCTAGTAATTATTTAATATAAATTTTTGAACACTCTGTATAAGGTAGTAAAATTTATATTATTGCAGCACAATATCTGATCAATAAATAATCTTCAGTAAATATTTAGTATTAAAAAATATGATACCCTTGGAGAAATTAAGCCTTAAAATTTTTACTGCAATTTCACAAAATTGAAAATATTTCAAAAACGGTAAGGTTTAAGTGTGATAAACCTTAATCAAATTTACCTTTATTTCAATCGTAGAATCCAAAAATAGAATAATATACAGGGTGTTCTATTTAAAAAAATTCAACTATAATATTTTTTACTTATTTGGGACACTCTGTATCTTGAAAAAATATTTTTAAATTGTAGCTCTAATCGTCCTTCAACGAACACAAAACTTACAATTTGTAAAAATCTAATCGTTTAGCTACAATACTCCGTGTCGTATGTGGTGAACAACCCTGTATAAGTTGAGAACAAATGCAACACATTCCTTATATGTACTTTTGTGACCAGCACAAGTTCTGTTAGATATTATTAAATATACAGATGCATCTACAATAAATTAATTTTAGTACAGAAATATATATATTATCTTACATATTAAAACTTGTTTACAAATATCATTATACATATAGGTAGGCCAACTATTATTAGAAAGATTTTCAAAAATACACTAGCGGTTTGATCAAAGGCAATAATATAATATCCATCGATTTGTGGGACAAAAAATACAACACTTTAAATTAAAAATGATTTATTTTTAGTTTAATTAAGAAATCCGAGATATTGGAGGTCAATGTGGGGTTATACAGATGCGTCCATATCACGGTCAATGATCGAGTAAAATCTCTCCTGCGTTGCCAGATAATACTCGTATTCGCCCTGAATCTGGCGACGTTAATTGATAACGACCATTTAAAATTTTCTTTTGTTATACATATGTACAGGGTGTAGAATAATGCATTGACATAATTTTACTAGTATACTCCTTACAGATATTTTTTTTAAATCTGAGTTTCTTTTTCGTCACCGACCGACAGGAAAAAAAGATCTCTTACAATTTTCATGTAGGTAGTTTAGTAAGTTCATTATATTTTATTGTAGTGTGTAATGTGTAGCTAAATTAATTTGACTTTTTAGCCTGTTTTTCTGTTCATATCTGTCTCTATACGACGTAAAACAAAATATTGTTATTTTGGCGCAACTTTAAAACATCCTGTACAATGAATTAACAAAATACAGAATTTAAAAGAAATTTTTTCATTAATGCGCATGTTTCTCGATAGACTGTTTTTTGGTTCATCTCGATAGCTTTCTTTTTATTGGAGATATTCGCCTTTGAAGAAGACTCAACTCATATTATTATTGTTTGTTGGTAGCTATTCTAGCAAAGGTGGTTTTGAGTCCAGAAATTAATTTCCTTTATGTTCAATTAAAGCAACAATAGCCGATACAACTTCTGAACTTAAAACTATCTGCTAAAGTAACTGCCAATAATACGACGGTTTTCTTTTATATTTTGCATAGTAGAAAAAAACATAACTAAAACAGTACATAACTCTTAAACACTATTGTTTTTCGAAGTATTCTCCACGAAGAGAAATGCAATTTTGCATCCGTTGAAACCAATTCTGAAAGCAGTTATTCCACTCTCTTATTGGTATCTTCAAAATTGTGTTTCTGACTTCATTTTCTAGTGACTGGAACCTCTGACCACGCAGTTCATTCTTAATTTTTGGAAAAGTAAAGAAGTCGTTCGGACTTAGGTCGGGCCTGTATGGAGGATAGTCCAACAATTCGATGTTTGCTTATTTAAAATCTCAATTGTTTTTCGAGCTGGGAACTGGGAACTGACATTGTCTTGGTGGAGCATTATTCGTTGTTGAGGGTTGGTTTTTTGACACTCAGCAATTACTTCCGGCATTCAAATAGAGATGTACCAATTAGCAATCATAGTTCTTTGATCTTGCAGAGAAACTGTTGCTCCATGACGTTGATCAGCATCTACGTTTTTTTGGATGAGTGTCTGATTGCCGTTGTTGGTGGACCTGTTATTGGATCTAAGCCTAATCCATCCACGTTCAAATTCTCTATACCAATGGAGAATTGTCGACTGATGTGGTGCTTGATGTTCGAAAACAGAAACCAACTCGACAAGTCATTCATGTTCAGACCACTATTTTCAAAAATTGTAAAAATTATTTAGCGAAAATTTTCTCGGTATAATTCCATTTTTCGACTGACTCGTCAACTTCAAAAATTCAGTTTAGGTACAGTCATTTAAATGAAGCCGTCTAAAACTTTGGCGTTAAGTCCACTAAAGATGACAAATAATTTTAACATTTTGATATATGTTAATAGGCGCCTACTATGTTTCTATATACAAAATATAAAAGACAACCCTCGTAATAACATGAATTTTTAATACATACATACATACATACTGCCATTACTCGCTGACGAGTATTTGACACGCATCAGAAGATGGTCACGCAAGGCGTTTTCTTTTTCATGAGCTTTTCTGTGACTGAAAAGCCCAGTACGTGATGTTATTTGTCTACCGCACTCCGGACATTCAAAAATCTCATTGCTTTGTTGCCTCTTAACTTTTTGGTTCTCGCTGTTAACTGAGTTTACAATTCTTCTCCATTGAGTTCTATTTTGAGCTGCTACTTCCCACTCATTCTGCACGTTAATCCCCTTTAAGTTTTCGTGGAAAATGTCCTTGTACTTTCTGAGTTGTCCACCCGGCCTCCTCTTACAAGCTCCTCTACAAGCTCACCGTAAAGCAGAGATTTTGGTATGCGGTTTTCTTGCATTTTGCACACGTGACCAGCCCATCTTAGTCGGGATTTTGTAACCATAACTTCAATACTCTCGCAGTTAGCTTTTTCAAGAACCGTTACGTTTGAGACATGATGGAACCATTTAATTCTTAAGTGTTGTCTAAGGTGTATCTGTTGCAACTTGTTTAATGCGTTCATGTGTCGGCGGTACGGCACCCAGGTTTCGCTCCCAT